AACTATGTAAAAATATTAAAAAAAATATAAAATATAATATAAAGCTAAAAATAAATATATACTAATATAAAAAAAAAGTAAATTCTATTATAATATCTATATAATATAGGTAGTTTTTCAAATTTTTGCTGTTGGTGGGTTTTGAACTTCCAACCTACCACTTGGAGAATTGACAACTTATCTACTTCACTAAGTTGCCACACTCCACCTGTATCAGATTTTTAAAAATTATATATAATACTAAATAGAACTATTTTTACTATTTTTTATTTACTTAGAACATTTAATAAAATTATATAAAAAAATATTTCAATTTGAATATAAAGAGTTAACACAAAGTACTGATTAGTTTAAAGATAATGTTTTATAGTTTTTAGTAATTTACAGTATATATATAAATTATATTTGTATTACAGTTTTGTTTCTGATCTATATTAATAATAATTCTATTTAAAAAAGTAAATACTGCTAACTGTTTTAATAATTTTATATATTAATTTTTTAAAAGAAATAAACTAAATTATCTATTTTTACAAAATTTTTCTTGAAGAAAAGTAGAAAAAATTTTTCTAATTTGGATACTAAATAGAAAAAATGTTTATTAAAAAGAAAATTTGATCTTTTTTTAAACAACAAATACATCTACTTATTAGTATTTCATATCTATTTTAGTTTTGTTAATAACAATTTACTTAATATAAAACTAAGAATATTGTTGACTAGTGAATTGCTAAAAAGAATTAAATAAACTTTGTATATAATAAACTAAAAATTTTTAAATTTTATATTAGTTTAGTATAAAAATAATAATTCTATATAGTAATCTTTTTTTATAATTAAAGTTAATAGCTTATTCTATAGTGTTTATTATATACTATTTAAATTTTTTTTAAGATTAAGATAAAACTTTGCTTATATCTTTATTAATAATTTTAACTATATATATATAAGTATATACAGAAGATTAATAACAAATTAAGATTTGGTAAAGACAAATAATTAAAAAACTTAAATAGATTTTATCTTTAGAGATTAAAATTGATTTTAATAATTTGAATTTATTATATAAATTTTGTAATATTTTAGAATTTATTAAAATTTAAATAGATAAATTTTTAAAATATTACAAAATTTAATAATAAATTAGGATTGAAGTTCTATAGCCTAGTGATCTAGACACTCTTTTTCTATAGACAAGATCAATAGTTCAATTCTAGCTAGAAATTAAAAAACTCTATAATCTATAAAAGCACATAAATGTATACAAAGCCTTGTAGCTAGGTTCATATGAATAAACAATTAGTATATAAAGAAGTTCTTAGAAAAAAGCTTTTCAATATAAAAAGTTAGCACTTAATATAAGAGAAGCAGTAAATATACCAGAAATAGAGAAAAGATGCACTAGTAAATAATATAATAAATATAAAAAAAAGCTATAAAACAGAAATAAATTTACTAAAATTTGAACATCTCTAGTACTAATATTAATTTTAGTAAATACAAAATATATTAAAGTTAAATAAAAATCTAAGAAATAATCTTGGTACTATACTTACTAAGTTTGCATTAAAAGTAAATTCAAAGAACTATAAATACTTAGTAACATCCAATAAGATGATACTTTAATATAAATAGTAATTAGATAGGTCTAACCTAATATGTTATTATAATAGTAATATAAAGTATTGCATATATATGCAAATAGTATTAAAAATCAGAAAGTTTAAATAGAGAACTCAGAGATAGGTCTCAGATATAACATTTAGTAAATAATATATAGGTAAAACTCTTAATTAAATAATAACTAAAGTTATATATATTGCTAGTTGTATGTTTATTAATAGACTATTATATATAAAATATAGTATATATTATTAATAAAAGACATTTATCTGGTAGATGACTATGATCAGACTGCTAAATAAATTTATTATTTGGCAATTGTTATTATTCAGCAGTTTTTATTATTTGGCAAATTAGAATTTTGATAAAAGCAAATATTTATTATATTTAAAAATGTAATTTTTTACATATTTAAAACTATATATCGATACTATCTATTTAAATATATTAATTGATTGTAACATTATCTGCAGTAATATAATAATTTTTTACAATCATATTTCTATCCATTTTATCTTCTGAAGTTTGATAACTATGTTCATATGATTCTTGCTATTCAAATAATTGAAAATTTTGCTGTTCGGATGATTGAGAGAAACTTTTTAGTAATGTATGAAAAGGCTTTGTTACAGATTTCCATTTTCTGGTCGATTCATTTAATACTTTATTAGCCAATTTTGATGCCGAATTCAAATTAGTCTAAAATAAAAAAAAATCATATAAATATTATTTTAAAAAATTAACACTTTATTCATAAATCTATACCATTGATTCTAAAAGTTTAGCTTGATTATCTTGCATATTATTTTGAGTAGCAGTTATGTTTTCAATATGGTTCTGGTTTTATAAAATTTTAAATTTTTTAATAAACCTTTTTATATAAAATTAAGGTGCAGTATGATATAATACTTATGTCAACTTGTTTTAAGGATAGCTCAATATTATTGATCAAGCTTGATAATGCATTTTCCTTATCTTTTCTGGAAGGTTTTGCATAAACCCGATAAGAGGATTCACTTTTATGGCCTGTAATTGCCATTGTTGTTACTATAGGAACCCCTTGTCTAAATAAAGCGGTAATTGAAGTTGATCTCCCATGGTTAGTAATACTACAGTTTTTGGTGTCAATACCAACTATATTGCAGACATTTTTCATAAATGATTAACATAATTTTTCGCCAAGTCGGGTATCACAATACCAAGGTTCTTCTGGATCATCTAATCGAATTAACAATATAAGCACAATTATAATTTAATATAAATGTATAATTTAAAATACTTACATGCAAATTTATTGTTAATTAGAAGATGTAAATAAAGAGTTTGATAATTTTTAGGATGTTTAGAAATATAAAGCTTCAAATCATGAATAGGGCCTTGAAAATCTGTTGGATCAAGTGGTACAGTAATTATTAAACCTGTATTATCACTTTCAATACCTTCTTGATTGTTCTTTTGGGAATATTTAGTAAATCGTAACCCTCCATCTGTAGTAAAAACAAACTGAGATATTTTAATTAAATAGTGTTCGCCGACTCTAGGCTGAAACAATAAACAACATCACATAAAAATGCGATATTGTAAACCTTGAGAATCATTAATAGAAATCAACTTATGTTGAAATATTTGTTGTACTTCTTCATCTATTAAATTGTCATGATGCTTAACAATATTTCCAGATTTTTTTAATTTTTTTAACTTTCCATTTAATGTAGACCATAATAATCTAAATTCCTTCTTATTTGATAAAGTAAATTGACGATTTCCATCAGAGTGGTTAAGAAGGTATAAACTTAATAAGTTTATACAATTAATAAGAGAAGAAGGAGCATATTCGGCTGAATTTTTAACTTGTCATATTCCTAATATAAATTCTATTATCTCCATTTCTAATTGGTCTTTGCTATTGATTTCTTTAATTCCATAATTATAACCAACTATTTGATGCCAATTTTTTAAAATTTAAACCCACTTGTCAATGGTCTTTCTAGTATTTACTGGAATAATATCAGTTCTTGTTGCAAGAATTTCTTCTTAAGATGGTTTATAATATACAGCATCCAACTATAAAAATTTTCTTATAATTATTGTTTTTTTTAAAAAATAATAATAATAATAAATTTTTATTCGAACCTTAGCTTTTGACATTTTTGCTTCATAAAAACAAAAAAAAAACAAAAAGGTTTAAATTATATTTATATGAATGATAAGTTGTCTGATCATTATCATTTACCGGATAAAACTATTATTAGTTGCTACACACTAATAACTTCCATATCTGACCCAGAAATCTGAAATTTAATATGCCAAACTCTGGGCCCCTGTGGGGCCCAGAGTCTAGTATATTAAATTCCAAATTTCTGAACCAGATACATTTTCATATTCGTCACCTGACACTAATTAAATAGTGATCAGCTGATCACTACTTAATCAATATCAATGTGCCAAATACTACAGTTATTGGATGCTTCACATCCAATAACTATTAAATATGCAAATTGTCATTTCATATTCACAACAAACTTTTTTTAATGATTACCTAGACCAAGTTGGCACCAAAAGTAGATTAAAAATTTTGGCTTCAAAGTGAATAATATTCTTAGTTTTATATTAAGTAAACTTGCTATTGACAAAGCTTAAATATATGATACATCAAGAAGCAGATAAAACTTGAGTAGTTCTTGCTTTAAGTTAAGCTTTTTGTCTGATGGACTTTCTCGCATATTCAGTATCCAAACTGAAAGGATATTCTGAAAGCAAGTAGAGACAAAATCAGTTCTTTGGTTAAGAATATTAAAAGCAAAAGAAAAGAAAGAATAACTAGAAAAACTTTCCTTAACTTAGATCCTTGCAACAATAATATACTACCTCTTCATCCTTTTTTTTGCTTTCTTTTTTCAAAAAGTGGGTATTTGGCTCACTCTTATTAAAAGATCAACATTATGCATCACTTCTTTTTGTAGTTATATGCTTACTTGAACATGGCAAATAAGGAACACAACAAACATGTAAGTTAGCCATTTATGTAGACCAGATTGAAAAAAAATTTAATTCAAAAAGACCAAAAATATATTGAAATATGCATATATTCTGAGACTATATACATAATATTTTTTAAAAAAATAGTTATAATAATATAAAGGTTTATAAAAAATTGAACTGCTTAAGTGCACTCCAAATCTTGGCACAGTACTCTATCTACTTAAAGATTATTTCTATATAGAAAGTGTCTGGCTTAAACTCTATTCTACAAGTGAATACAGTTTTTATTCTAATTAAGAGTATCTAGTTTCTAAAGAATAGCCATATTTCATAAAAATATAAAAACATTGTAATAAGCAGCAATCACAGAATAGAGTTTTATCCTGTTAGCAGGTTCTCTTATTTATTTTCCTTATAGATTAGTTTTATTTTTTTTTTTTTGGTTTTATTTTACTTCACATTTTTATTTTTTTCTTTTCCAACTTTAAAATTAATTTTTTTTTTATTTTTCTCTTTTTTATAAAAAGATGTCTTCAGATTAGTAGTATTCTATTATAGGGTAGAAGTCAAATGAGTCATAATTTCTAGTCCTAACTGAATTAATGTAGCAGGTTGCATTTAAATATCATTTGGATAGCTGGATGATAGTAAACTTATAAGTTAAATGATATTTTGTATTTATATATGTAGTTACAAATAGTTTAATAAAGTACTACTATGACTGTTTAAGAAAAAAAAAATTGTTACTTAAAAAAAACTATAATAAATTTAAATTATTAAAACTAGTTTCAATTTTTAATAATCTTCTAGTAGATTATAAGTATGCATCTAATAGAATATTAGAGTAGATTACTTATATAGACAATCAAAAGTTATATATATAACTAGTTATACTCTTATGTCTATAATAATATTAATTCCAAATTACTAATAAATTACTATTACAAAGTACAGTCTTTAATTAAAAATGCTAAGAAAATTATTTAAGTAGCTATAGAATAATGAAAACAAAAATATAAATTAAATATATGATAGCAAAAAACAATAAAGTAAAAATTAAAAAAAAGAAGCAATCAAGAATATTGTAACTATATAATTAAGCAAAAATAAAATATTGTAAAAACTATATACAAGAATTATAAAAATAATTAGAAATAAAAAAATTTTAAAACAATTTAAAAAAAAAACAAGATAAAAGAAAACAAATGAATAAAATAAATAGGATATAAAATATAATAGAAAAAATAAATATTATAAAAACAAATAAGCATTTATCTAAAAAAAATATACAATATAATAACAAATAGAAAAAACAACAATGGGAAGAAAATATTATTAAACTTTAAAGATTAATTAAATATATAAAGACAAGAGAAGGCCAAAAGGTAACAAGAAAAAAAAAAGCAAAATAAAATAAAAAATAAAAATATACAGATTAAACAAATAAATAAAGAATAAATAATAAATAAATAATAAAAAAATCTAATATTATTCTACCTTATATTTGTTAAATAATGGTAGCATAACAGTAAAATAATAATAAAATAACAGAAGATTTGTTAATATGAATAATATAATAATAATATATTAGCAAAATAATAAAACAGTTTTATTATTTTACTTTTAGTCTTTGTAACTAAAAGTAAAATAATAGAACTGTTCTATTATTTTGCTAATATATTACTATTATATTATTTATATTAACAAACTTCTTGTTATTTTATTGTTATTCTGCTATAATGCTACTGTTATGCTGCTATTATTTAGTAAATATAAGATAAAATAATGTTAGTTTATTGATTATTTATCTATTATTCACTATACTTAAAAATAATTGTGACAACACAAATTAATATATTAGTAAAGATAGAGTTTTAGAGAGAAAATATATATATATATTTTTTTGAAAGATGATTCTCTTTTTATTTCTATAGTTTTCTATATGATGAATTTTTTTTTGTACTATTTAAGTTGTACAAATTGATTTATTGAATTATTATTTATTAATTTATTATTTATTAATATATTGGTATATAAGTATGTTTGTATTAAAAATTCAAACAAAAATAATAAGACTAACTGTAACATAGGCACAAAAGAGATATTATTATAAGAATCACCTAATCTATTAGATTAAAGGATGCTAATATAAAATCATAGATCAAATAAGTTTGTATTAATTATAAGGGCATTGATTTTATGAATCTAATAATAAGTATAAATAAGCCATAAAATCTAAAAAAGAGAAGTTATGCTTTTTTTTTATTACTTTTAATAGTTGCCAAAACCCTATTTTCTAGCTAATTGAAATGTTTTTTCCTTCTATCTCTTTTTAAAAAAATTATTTAAGAAACTGATCAACTAGATAGGCCCATTAATACTATTTAAATGCTGCAAAATCATATATTTATTAAATTAAATTAGATTATAGTATTCATTTGTACTGTTTAAGAAATAGGATAAAATAGCTGTAAAAACTTTACATTGTACTGAGAAGTAAAATAAAACAGCCATATAAATCCTACATTGTTTTGAAAAGTATAAGAAAACAGTTGTAAAAATCTTATACTATTTTTAGTAAAACAAAACAGCTATAAAAACTCTATACTGTTCTGAAAAGGATAGGAAAGGCAAAGTATGCCTATACTGGCTTAGAAAATGCTAGAAAAAGTAAGTTAAAATCAAAATAAAAATATAATAGGGTGTAAAGAACTATGCTTAGGCAAATAGCAATGGCATTATTCTTATAGTTTTCTATATAATGTATTTTTTTTTGCACTAATTGAGTTATACAAATTAATTTGTTGATTTATTGTTTATTAACTTATTATTTATTAATATATTGAAATATGTGTATGTTTGAATTAGAAATTTGAATAAAAATAAAATAACTTTAGAAGTGATATTTAATAAAACAATATATAATAAAGGTTTTGAACCTTACAAAAAAAATGTTTATATTTATAATAAAATTTGATCTTAATACTTTATGCCTTTGCTACATTGTAAAATCTAATTATAAAAATACTACTCATCAAATCTAATTATCTTTTATCAACTAGGCTGTTTGTATACTAGTGATTATAAATAATGCAACAAAAAAAAATTTAGTCAGATTATATTATCTTATACAATTCTAAGCATATTTGTTAAATTTTTTTTATTTTATTTACAAATAACAATATTATTATTAATAAAAAAGATTTATAAATTTAGTAATCAAAATTTTTTAAAGGCACAAGCTTTATTTTAATATAAGGTGGATATGGGTAATTCGGCGGAACAGGTAATTCAGTGGATCTTACTAAATCAGTGATATATTGTGATCCAATTATCAGAATTCGATGATTGTTACACCATTCAATTCGTCTCAACAAAACGAGTCGAATGTATAAAATTTTGCCAGTTTTTAATTGCTGGATCATGGTGTGCAGATATGG